ATTGGAAATAAGATAGGGGGAACATCCTCTCCATGTTGGGCAAGAAAAGGTTGCGGTCCTCAACTCTCCACAGCCACTTATAGCCCCCATCATAAGCAGTGCTTGCGTTGAAGTCAACAAAGTCCCCAAAGAGATATCCAGGTTTGGTTATGGGCTTACGGCTTGGGCTTTCAAGTCGAGCGTCCGAAACCAACGTCCTGAGAGTGTCATGAGAAGCTTGGGTGATCAGTTCCACGCGACTCTTCTCCCTCATCCGGAAAACCGGGAGTTCTAAACGCGAGCTGAAAGTTATGTTCATGTCTGCACCACCTTCATGTCCAAAGTGGTGGCGAAAAAGAAGAGGCTCGCTGGTATGTCGCACTACAAAAAGAAGAAAAGAGTTAGACAACTCAAAATCAAATTGCAGACGCGAAGGTCGAACCCCGCGTCAAACAAGTTCAGACGCGAAGGTCGAACCCCGCGTCAAACAAGTTCAGACGCGAAGGTCGAACCCCGCGTCAGACAATCTCAGACGCGAAGGTCGAGCCTCGCGTCAGAAAAGTTCAGATGCGTGGGTCGACCCTCGCGTCAAAAATCTGAGACGTGGAGGTTAAACCCCTCGTCAAGAAGATTAAACGACGGGGTCCAGCCCCGCGTTATGGGAACGAGTTTCCTCGTTAATTTCAAGATCAGAACTTGCCGGAGCAAGTTTAATGACCACGAAGGTCGTACTCACCACCGATCAAGGGGAGTTGGGCTGTCACATTCGCCTGAGCGGCGGCGCCGCCGGTCGGCACCGACGGTGCAGATCCTCGAGCCACGGCGGCATCAGGCTTGGAAGCGACGTCGGACTTGGAAGACTTCTTTGGTGCCATTGAATCTCGTCGGAGAAGAAGAATAGTTTTCGCCGGAGATGAAAACGAAATTTCTTTTTCGTTAAATTTTCAAGAAGAGTCAAATGACTCTTGATTTGACCCCTAGCGGTCTATTTATAGACAGCTATGAGCTGTCAAATCCTAACGGACGGGATTCGAGGCCATCAGCCCGCCCAAGCTCGACCCTCGCGTTCGAGTTGATTCAGCTTCCAAACGCGATGCTCACCTGCGCGTTCAAATTTCCCAACGCTGGGCTCACCCACGCGTTCCAATTCTCAAATGCAGAAGGCATCTCTGTGTTGAGACCACCATGAACAACAATTTCTTGGTTACCAAAGCGATCAAAGCCAGGAAGAAACAAACGACTCCACTGGGGAGTCTGTTGGAGGAGTACAGATAGAGTACAGTCAACAACGGCGAAATCATCTGACTCGATCAGGCGGGAAGAGCAATCAATCCACCAAATTCTGGGATCCAAAGTATTCCGAAAATTCGTCCCAGTCAACCGCGAACTTTCGAAAACTTTGGAGGGGGTTCTGTAGGCTGTCTAAAAATCACAATAGATAGCTTATTCAAACAAGCTCCGACAACGGAGGTCACAATCAGACGACTTCCCAATCACTGCATCCGCAACTCCACAATTGCCACAAACGCGACCTCACTTCTGAGATGATTGATCTTGATGGCTGTGACAACAGCATGGCTAATATCATAGCAACTATTAGAGATGCTGATGAGCAGTGGGACGATTTCAGAAATAAAAAGTTGGACTCAGTTGGTGAGTTGCTTGGTAGAGAGCTATGGGCGAATATTCATCTTTAAGACACTATGGATGTTGATTCCCGTCTAGCTCCTACAACGAAAGCTACAATCAAATAGCTTTCGGGTCGATGATCGAAACATATAGTCGAATAGTTGCTTGGTAGAGAGCTATGGGCGAATATTCATCTTTAAGACACTATGGATGTTGATTCCCGTCTAGCTCCTACAACGAAAGCTACAATCAAATAGCTTTCGGGTCGGTGATTGAAAGCGGCAAATAGAGGACTTTTCACATAGATCGAGAAAGGTTACAATTCAACGACACTTCCGACAACTGATGAAAACTCTATGCAGCAGTCTTCACAATCTACAGTGAAAGTTACAATCTGACGGCTTTCACACCCCACAACAGCTAAAGCCAGGATTACTGAACAACGGTCCTTGCAACGCTCTACAGAAGAAGTTACAAATCAGCTAACTCCTTCTGAAACGCGGGTGTCATCCCCGCGTCATAACTTTGGAAATGAAGGCGACCCTCGCGTCGTCAATACACAAGCCAAACGTGAGCGACCCTCGCGTTCAATGGTGTTCAACCAACAGCGA